AACACAGGTAGAAGCATAGGGGCACACAAAAAAAGAGAACCCGTGGGCAAGGGGAAGAAGAAATAAACTCTAGACAACCACACGATGCAAAACTATAGTACGAAGAAACTAAACGAGCATGTAACTCCAAATGACTCCCTATTATATGATAGTAAAAAAGTCACGTTTATATTACTACATGATTTCTTTTGGTACTAGATTTCACATGAAGGACACAATTTTCAGTATATAGTTGTTCGAGGTGATAAAGAATACTTAATTTGGCGTGAAAATTTCAAACATGCATAAATCAATAAATCTAAACACAAACAACTTAATAACAAAGGGAAAATACTTGCAGTAGCCAATGAACAAGGGGAACGAACTAGTAAAAGGTTTAAAACTTACTTCTTCACCGCTTCACCAGAGGCCTTAGCAGCGGCGGAATCAGGGGCCTTCTCCTCTTCCTCCTCGTAGTCGAGAAGCTCCTCCTCGTAAGCATCGTTGTCCCTGGCTTCACCCATCCTACACCACGGGAGAACAAAGATCACCACCCAGATCCACGAAGACCGAACGCGAAAACGCATAAATGGAACCAATCATTCACCTTCGAGACCGGAAACGGCGGATTAGGGAACGAAAGGTGGCTGAGAGCGCGTCTGCAAGAAAAAATCAAGAGCAAAAGGGAAGAATCGGCAAGGGTTTTGGCGAGCGAGATTCAGAGGCGGCTAGGGTTTGAGGAAGAGGCGGCGGAAGGGTCAAAGAAACAGGATGAGATGAGGTAGGAGCGACGCGAGCAATGGGTATATATCGGTAAGAGTAGATTGGGTCTGTGTGACAACGCAGTGAGTGTGATCTGACCGTCGAAACACAAGCAACGAGAGCCCGATCGAGGCACCAACGGGCAATTTGGAGTCGATCCATGCTCCCAACACCCGACTCAACTCACGACTTCGCTTCGGCTTATTGGGCACACCACTTGTTGGCATACGACCTCGACAACGACAAGAAAGCGTCGCGCCAAACTCCACGGGTTTCGGGTCCGACACCCGACCCGACTCAAAGCACGACTTCGAGTTGGCCTCTATCGGACACCGCGACGGTTCACACGAAGTCCAATGTCGAGACTTAAGTCGTTTCAATGTCTCTCACGATCGAGCTCGCGATCTCGAACGGTACACGTTGGCTCATCTACAACTCGTGCATACTATCACAACAATTTTCCTCAAATATATAATTTCTTAATTTGATTTCATCAATTTAATATATTATTATTGGTGGGGTCTTCTTCTGTATCACCAAAACCTAACAATGCTCCGACAAAAGGAGCCAGAGAGAGCACCTTTGTGGTGTCGGGACATCAGTCGTGCCTCTGGTAGTAGAACGAGTCACGACGAGGGTCTTATCCTTGAAGATAGTCACCGTTATCCTATCAGTCAATCCCATAAGTCACTTATCTATTTTTTGATGGATCACGACAGGAGAGGAAGATAAAATAAAAGTATATTAAGTTTAAAAATAATCAGGCTCGAACTGATGACTTTCACCACGTCAATATAACACTGAGTTATATTTCTCCCCGATGAGAAATGATTGACGACATGAATAATACTTGATTAGAGGAATGATATTTTTTTTTGGAGTAATTCGTAATTGAAGATAATATCCCTAAATTAAGCATATTATAATAATAAAAATATTATTTAAAAAAATCCTAAAATAGAAATTTATGTGATTTTAAGTAAGTTTTGATTTATTTTGATAAATTTTAGACTCAATTACAGATATAATCCAAAAACAGAACAGTGTAAGTGTGAGTGGATTCAAATATTATTATTTTTAAATCTAATTTTTAGAATTATTTTTAAACTGATTAAATTTATCAACAAATTATTTTTTAAAAAAATTATATCATTAAAAGTTATCAAATTTAGCTCAATTTAAAAAAAAAAATTTGGCTCATTCACATATGACATAACATAAAAGGCTCGATAAAAATGATAAAAATAGAAAATCATGTTATTTTGTATATTTGGGACTATTTCAAGGGTTTAAAAAATAATAATTTGTTTTGACAAGTTTTTGGCTCAATTATACTATTTTTTATATGGTATGAAAGTAATATAACTATATTATTTTTGAACCAAACTTTCAGCTTTCAAACTGATTGATAAGTGCAAATGTTACAAATTGATTCATGGATTCATCAAGGTTTATCAAATCTAATTGGATTTATAAAAAAAAAATCATCTCATTCACATATACCTTAATGATTGTTAAAATACTAAAATGAAAAATCATGTTATTTTATGTATACAAAACTATGTCATGGATTTTAGAAAGTTTGGATTTGTTTTGAGGAGCTTTAGAACCAATTATATTATTCTTTTCTATGGATGACAGTGTAATTATTTTCAGATATTGTTATATTTGAACCAAACATTTAGAAGAATTACTTTCAAACTAAATTAAAAATATAAATGTTGTAATGGCTTCATAGAATTTTATGAAATTTAGCTGAATCAAGAAAAATTCAACTCATTTATATGTTGAATTAATCATAAAAGACTCATTTAAAATGTTGAAAATGAAAATTCATATTATTTTATGGGTTTGGGACCATTTCAAAGGTTTCAAAAAAGTTTATATTTGTTTTGACAAGTTTTGGATTCAATTATTCTTTTTTTTTTACAATGCCCAAAAATAATGTAATTGCTTCCATGTTATTTTTAATCAAACTTTTAGAAATGGTTTCAAACTAAATAACAAGTGTAAATATTATAAATTGATTATGGATTAAAAAAATTACTGAATTTATGAAATTTCAGCTCATTCACTTACTGAGTATATTATAAAAGGCTCGCTAAAAAGGTAACAAAACAAAATGAGAAATCATGTTATTTTGATTTATCCGTATTTATTTCAAAAGTTTTAGATATTTTATTTATGTCCTATAAAGATATGAAATTAGACTTATTTAATTTTACCTATTTAAGATGAGTTTATCATTTTTGTCATGAATATAGTTATATATTTAAAAAAATAAATAAATATACTAAAAATATTTTTTTTTTAGATTTTAAGGTACATTGCTTTTAGTTTCTATTCTCATATGAAAATAATAATAATTTATCACTATCTAGACAATATGTGTTTGATACGTGAATAATAGCCCGATGTCATATTCATGTAATAGACATGTCAACTAATATATTTAATTCAACATGTCATGATATTACAATCACAATTAAGTCGGAGAGCAATATATAACTACTCTTTGTAATTATCGATGATCTCAAGAATAACAATATTCAAAGTCTTATAAGAAAGTTTCTTATATGTATTCCCCACAAACATAAATATTCTTCAATAATTCATTCTAGATCATCTAAACCCCGAGCTAACTTAAGCATCGAAAGAACTTTTTGTTCTAATATAGTTTTATATGTTCAAAACAATATATGAAAAGGATTTTGCTTGTCTCTTAATTAGCAATATATGAATTAACAAAATTGAATAATGAGGATCTAAACCCAAAAAAGTAGAACCCTTATATCTCAAACCTTACGGCTTGAGCACTTTGAAGATTAATATAAGACTATTTAAAAATAATATAAATTATGTCTGTTTTTATCAAAAAATATCAAACTTTTTTACAAAACATTGAAAATGTATATTAAAACCATATTTTACTATTGTTAGCAATTAAAATACCTCATTTTGATAAATACAACTCTTAAAAGGTTGAAATTTTTATTTTCATATTTTTGATAAATTTAAGATGAAATAAAAAGTTGTAACTATGCCATTATTTTTATTACATTTATATTAATAAAATTTAGATTTTTTTATATTTTTATTGTTACAATAATATAATGATATTATTTATTTAGGAGGAGTTCAACTTTTGGTTTAGTTCAATACAATAATTTGGCTCAACATAATAAATTTAAAAATATGAGAAAAAAGGAAAAAAAACAAAATAAAAATTATTTATTAAGGGTTACTTTTGTTATTTTGAAAATTAGAGCCTCTTTGTAAACAAATGAAAACAGATGCATTCCTTGAAATACAAATAAAATTAGGAGTTTTTCTAAACAATTTGATGAATAAATACTATTAGATTAATCTAAGTTAGTTAATTACAATGGACTCTTCTTATCATACATATATTACCTTAAATTATATAAATGGTTAAGAAGCCTATCGTGTCACACCATCATATTATGTTTATAAGGGTTAATTATAGATTATTATGTAATTAGATATATTTAGCATCTTAGTCTCTATATTTTGAATTACAATGAGTTTCTTACACTTGTAAATTGAAACATTTAATTTTGTTTCTTCTCGTGCTATCAGTTTAATTCTGCTTCTTAAATTGTATAGACAATTCGTATGTTATATTTATAAGGGTTAATTATAGATTATCATATAATTAAATAAATTTAGTATCTCGATCCCTTTACTTTTAAAAATTATAATGAGATCTTTATATTTATAAAAGTGAAACATTTAGTTTTATTTCTTCTCACACTATCGATTTTAGTAATGAAAATAATGTAAAATTTATCATCGAGCACTTACTGACTTTGTCTCACTTAAGTTTATCACTAAACACCATGCGGTGTTTTTATCAGTATATTCAACGATATAAGAAGAAATAAAATTAAAATATTTTATAAAATTTTTAATATATTTTAAAAAAAATATAAAGATCAAAATATAAAAAAAAAATAATTATAAGAGATAATTTATAATTAGTGGTCAACATCTCAAAGTCAATGAATCCTCGCTGGCTTTGGCGGCCCAATTCGACGCCCTCAAGCGGATTCTTCCGTCCACTCACCCAACGCATCGGTTCGGGCGTTGAATCCAACCGATCGTTTTGTGGGTCCCCAATCAAAACACGGTCGATGAACGCAGTAGCTTCTATGCTGCCGAGTGTTCAGGTACGAGCTCGCAGACACCCAATCTCTTACCCACCACGGAGGCGAGGGATTGTGCGTGTGGTAGAGAGAGAGAGAGAGAGAGGCTTTTGCTCATCGGAGGGGAGAGACAGGGAGGAAGAGAGCGAAGGTTTTTTGTTTCCGCTGTTGGCGCTGCAACGCCGCCCCCTTCATCCGCAAACCGAGGTGCGCATCTCTGTGAATGCTCGAACGATTTGCTCCCCGATCCTCATCTTCCTACCGTCTTCTCGATCCTTTAGGGTTTCTTTAGCTCCGCTGGAGATTGACGCTGCTCGCTTCTTTTTCCTTCGCCTTCGCAAGCGTTTCCTGAACAAGGGTTTCTTATTTGGTTGATGAGCTATCGGTCGTGCAAAGACTGAATATTTTTTCTGTTTTATGCGGATAATTTTAGTAAGGGGAGGTGCTTCCAAAGGCCAGAGTTCGTCTCTGACACAACTGGATCTTTGCTTCCCTGTTCTTTCCAATAAGGTTCCTCTCAAGAATAATGGATTCTCTTGAGCCTTGTGTAGACTTTACGTCTTGAGGCAACCAGCCCGACGGTTAGTTGGTAATCATTTTTAGGGCGTTCATCATCTACTTGGTAGCAACGGAACTGGGGTTTTGTTCAGGTTTTTAGACGAAAGCTGAATGAAAGTGGTGTCGTTGGTCATGCTGCAAGGGCATTCAGTCTGAGGCATTATCAGTCAGACATTATAGAAAAAAGGGCTTCTTGGTGGATGCACATAGCTTGTTATGGGGTCAATTTCTTAGAGCGAATTCAGGAACTAGGAAGGGGAGTAACATGAATTCTACGATCGATGAGATTACCCTCCTTCACCAGGCACAGGCCAGGGCCCCGAGTCATCATATGGTCATGAGAGGGATCGGAGAAGAAATCGACTTGGAGATTGGGCCTGGGGACGATGACCCTTCCTTTTCCAGCACCACCCTTGTTGGGGTGACCACACATGAACCTGTTGCTCCGGAGGAGCAAGAAGACCACAAGCAGCTTCTTTTGTCCTCTCAGGCTCCCGGTGAAGGTCAGCCACAGCTAGTGAAGGCACCGCAAGGAAAGCGAAAGAAGAAGGTAGTAAAGAAGTGGAGGGAGGAATGGGCAGATACCTACAAGTGGGCTTATGTAGATGTGCATGAGGGCACACCAAGGGTTTTCTGCTCGATTTGTAGAGAGTATGGTAGGAAGCATAGGAGGAACCCATATGGAAATGAGGGTAGTAGAAATATGCAGATGAGTGCATTGGAAGAACATAACAACAGCTTGCTACACAAGGAAGCTCTTCGCCTACAGATGGCATCCAAGGACAAGGGTGTACCTGTTATCGAAAGACCTGTTTATGTTAAAGGTTAGAATGTCTTTTTCCACATTTTCACTTTTTTGGTCATCTTTGATTCTTAAGATTATGGATTTATTCCAATTTCTTATATTGATAGGAAAATAAACCATACTTTTCTAAGTTTCTAACATGTCATAAAACCTTTCTTACCATCATTATCATCTTGCTACATAAAAGATTATTGTACTAACTGCACTTTGAGCTACTTACAACTCTTGTGCATCACATTTCGACAAACAGTATTAAGTTGAATATTCATGTCAGCAAATCTTCGTAGATGATGCAAAACTGGATTTCATGGATGTCAGATGCTAGAACTCTGTGTTAGCCAACGATGATAAAAGTGCTTCTACCGTAACTCACAAACTTCTAATAGTAAGGACATTTCAGTTTATTCTGATATTTTTTTTCTTTGTAGTGGGAAAATATTCTCAATGGTAGCAAAACATCCATGTAGCTACCCCAAATACTCGAGACTTTACGGTTTTGTTGTTGTAGTGAGAACATATATTTCATTATTCAGTAGCTAAAATGATAACCTTCTTATAATTAACTCTAGAGCTTATGTCATTTTCTGATGAATTCATCAAAGTTAGGTTTAAGAGTTTTCTCTTTAATTTGATTGTCTGGGTTCTTTATCCTTTGCCATACTAAATGTGAGTTTGTTGTTTGCAAACGTGACCTGGAAAAATAGCATTAATGTCGAAATCTGCTAGTTCGATTCTTGAGTCGGTTTTGAGAAGGGATCCTCACGAAGTCGAGTTTATACAGTGTGTACAAGAGGTTGTTCATTCTTTGGAACCTGTGTTGGTGAAAAACACTCAGTAAGTGTCTTCTTCAAAATTTCATGATTATGTATCGAGACAACCTTGGATGATTGGGTATTCTGAATGATAAAGTTATTAGACATATTGATTTTTTTTGTCAGGTATATCCATATCCTGGAACGCTTATTGGAACCCGAGCGAGCAATTATCTTTCGGGTGCCTTGGGTCGATGACAGGGGAGAGACCCATGTTAACCGAGGCTTTCGAGTGCAGTTTAGCCAGGCACTGGGTCCATGTAGGGGCGGTCTTCGTTTTCATCCATTGATGACCTTAAGTATTGCAAAATTTCTAGGTTTTGAACAGGTAAAGTATTTGTGTTATTTGGTTCTGTCCTATTGGATGGTGCTGCTCTTAGAATCAATATAGCCAGCAGTTTAGGATCTTGCTGTTTAACTGTTTCCTCCTCTTGGTGTTCTCTTGGGGTCCTTGTAGAGCTATATAACTTTTGATGTTTGTATTTACCTTTTTGTTGGCAGTTGGAACCATGTTTGACTAATTGAGAATTTTGGTTGATTGCTTGCTGTGTATTACCTGGCGTTGCCAACTATTGACATTTTCTGTTTCTTCAGGCCTTAAAGAATGCTTTATCACCATATAAGCTTGGAGGTGCTGGAGGAGGAAGTGACTTTGATCCAAAGGGGAAAAGTGAGGCTGAGGTAACTCTTACTTTGAGGTCTGCTTTGCAAAGTTATCTTGTCTACATTTTAGGTCAATTTGACAAGTATATGACAAACTTGCAGATCATGCGATTTTGTCAAAGCTTTATGGATGAGCTACATAAATATTTGGGTCCTGATCAGGTATACAATTGTGATCATGGTTTTTATTTTCTGCATGTTCCATGTGCAGTAAACTAAATTCAAGTGCCATATCAGTCATATTGTTCTATACATGCAAATTCATGTTTGTTTTACAATGATCATATAGGATCTTCCTGCAGAAGATCTGGGTGTTGGTCCAAGGGAAATGGGTTACCTCTTTGGGCAATATAAACGTCTTACTGGTCATTTCCAGGTATTTATTCCCTTCTGGAATAAGTGATAAAGCTTTGAAAACTTTTTATGTAGATAATCCTCTCTGTAAAACTCAAAATGTATTTACTGCACCAACATAACTGTCTTCTGATGACTCTGTTGAATTGCATAAATGGTCATGCATAATGCTTATGAGGTGAAATTGGTTTAGTCTACTCCTTTTTAGGCTTGTAAGTGCTCATTTATTTGAATAACCTAGCAAGAGATAAGTGGATATCCTGAAGTTCTACCGACTCCAAGAGATAAGTGGATATTTGTAAGTGCTCATTAGATTTTGGCTTACCTACGGAAATTCCCATGATAGTTGCTTCATATTTGATTGTTTGTTTTCACCAGTATCTGTACAAGGGAGTCCAAATATCATATGCATTAATTGATTTTAAAGAATTTCTAGACACATTGTGGTAATTTTGCTTTATGGAGCAATTTAATCACATTTTGTTGAACTAGAAAATTAGAACTGTTTTATTTAATAAGAATGAATTTAAGAAGGAAAAGCATAAACTGATTAATCGGGTGCATGCATTAGTTTATCCTGAAGTTATTTAATTTAAAGGTGTAACATAGACCATCTGAAAAATGTACAAAGGAAATCAATCAGAAAAGGGCAGGCATCACCCTGACTTTTTTTTTGCATGAACCTGACTGTCATTTACGGATGAGAAATGTACAAATTTAAGTCCCTCGCCCTTAATGTTTTACCCTTAATTTGACAGCATTAGATATCAAATGTTGTTTGAAGATTTAGTTAGTCAGCCTGTTAATTTAAACTAAGGGAAATGGGCTTTTTCCTATGTAGTTTTGGTATACGTCTATATGAACATGACCTATTGGATTTTCATATAGATAGACCATTCAAGATAAAAATAATTTTTGTGTATCACAATATCATTATCAAAGATTGCCTTTTGGTGCTGCTTTCTAGTATACTGTGTGTGTGTGTGTGTCTCTCTCTCTCTCTCTCTCTCTCTCTTTGTGATTACTATAAGTCGTGGTGTCTTAGTTTCCTCTACATTGGTGTCCCTTTCATGAACCTACCTTGGACTTAAAAAGGTCATCAAGACTTGGACCAATCCTAAGGGGACTCAGGCAATTGTTTCAACTAGGCAACACTGTGACTAAGTGGTCACTTGGAATTAGATAAGCCAAATTATGGCTTATATTCTAGCGTTATTGGGAGGAATAAACAAGATTATGTATAAAAAAATTATGGCTTAGATAAGCCAACTATATTTATTGTATAAATTACCTTTTCTTTTTCTAAGATATTGTTGTTACAATTGCAATCATGGTTCGCCTTACCGGTTTGTACCTATGTATCGATCAATTATCGGTATGGTATGTATCGAGCTGTATCGAGTCATACCGAGCATATCGATACATGGTACATAGGAGCGTACCGATGTACCACCTGTACTAGTCCCTATCAGACCAGTATATACCGCTTGTACTGAGCGATACGTCGTGGTACAATGAACCTTAATTGCAACCATCACATACTTGGACTTAAGTAGTCTCGTTTTTTTTTTATTCTGGTAGAGCACTTTTAGTTGCATTGCATCTGGATTTCATGTTAATGCTTATGCAGGGAAGTTTTACAGGACCAAAGATATTCTGGTCCGGTTATAGTCTTCGTACTGAAGCTACTGGCTATGGACTGGTACCTTCTAATTTCTTCTTCTTCTTCATATATTTTTGTGCTCCATCAATAAATTTCAAGGTGTTACTTGAATTCTCATGTTGGACTTCTGTTAATCCAGGTTTTCTTTGCACGGCTTATTCTTGCGGAGATGAATAAAGAACTCAAAGGACTAAGGTTCTTGAACTCCTCAAACCTCATACAGAACTAAGAGTAACAATTGTATATGTCATAGTTATGTGGAATTATAAACTAAGAGCAGCAGCATAATCAATTAAGCTTTATCTGGCCTTTTTCATAACTTTATCCTCAGTCTCTGTTTGCGTTCAAGCACTTGATACCATTACCGGCCATTACAGGCAGCATGGTGGCTGGTATAGCTGATACCACTCAGGAAAAGAAAACAAAAGAATACAGCAGTAAAATTAGTTTTTGTCAAAAAAAGGAAATATGGGGTAGCCAATGAGAGACATGCAACCCTCATAGTCCCTTGTGTAGCTTGTGGTCAAATCAGAAAGACTCTTTTCTTTTTCTCTTTAGGAGGCTGGCCAGCATGGACAATGCTGCTAAAATTGGAAAACCTTGTAATCATCTCTCCGTTAACATATCATTCTTTTCCCTCCATCCATAACTTATCAAATTCTACTATTTATTGTTAATTTTAGACTCAAAATTTGAATCATGAGTGAAAATTAAATCTTTTCATCCACAGATGCATTGTCAGTGGTGCTGGGAAGCTAGCAATGCATGTCTTGGAGAAGCTTCTTTCATGTGGTGCTATCCCTATTACTATTTCAGGTATCCTTTTAAATTATTTTTTATATACTGGAGAGTATAGCTTCTGGGTCTCTGAACGTGCTCCCTCTTAAATGGATAAACCCCCTTTTGTTAATTTTATGAGTGCTTTTTCACCTACATTTTGGGTTCAAAAAGGTTTTTAAATTGGTTGATTATTTACATTATAGCCACTGGATCTGCCACTTCTGTTTCAAGCATTGCATTTTCATATTTGTTGTTCATGTTTGTTGTTTATTTCTTGTGTTGAGAAACGGTTGTGAGCCTTTCTAACTAATGCTTGCATAGTATTATACTACTACAATCAATCTTCTCTGTTGCTCATTTTGCTTTCGAGTTAGAACCCATGACATATTTACTCCTGAACAGACACAGACAAAGGATATTTACTTTTGCAATTAGTATTATGGACTTTATGATTACCTGTTGTTATGTGTTCAATATGTTTTTCTCTATGCCTCATTATCTTTTATCTTGAAGATGAAGATATTACTGCTCGAATATGGCTGTCGGGGGGAGCATGTTATGCTAAACGTTAGTGTAATGTTGTAGGATTTAACATTCATGGTTAAGTTAGTATTACTGCAACTTAAAGTTTTTTGGTGCGGGCAGAGGCCTTGCATATGTTTTAGCTCTGTTCTAACGACTTAAACAGACTACAAAAGCCTCATATCCCAGATGTCTACCTTATGACTTGCAGAAATTTTGGATCTCATTAGGCTATTGAAAGGACTAGGCAGAATTAGCATATAATGGATTAGCAGATGTAAAAGTTTGTTTTCTTGTCATCTGTCACAATTTGGTTTCTGCTGAATTAGAAAAGTTGATTGTGACTTAATTTATGATGCGTATATAGTGTTTCTGAGAAAAAGTTGGAATATATATGAACATTGTTTTACCAACTTTGTATATATTTTCTCTGAAAAATGTAGGCACCTGTGTGGTCATCTTCATACCTTATGTGTCTATTTTATGAAACATTGTGCCAAACAGATTCCAAGGGCTATTTACTCGACGAAGATGGATTTGATTACGTGAAAATTTCACTTCTTCGGGACATTAAGGTTCAACAAAGAAGTCTGAGGTGCTATCTGGTTAATCCGACAGTTTATCTCATTGTTGTTTTATTGCAATATGTAGCAAGTATATTTATGTATATGTTACTTGACAGAGACTATGTGAAATCAAATCCAAGGGCTAAGTACTTCGAAGATGCGAAACCTTGGAGTGAACAATGTGATATTGCCTTCCCTTGTGCTTCTCAGAATGAAATAGATCAACCTGATGCCATTGCTTTAGTTAATTCTGGCTGCCGTTTACTTATAGAAGGTGTGTAACTTGTGTTAAAATATAGAAGATTTCACTTGTTATCTGATGTCATGGATTATCCCTTTCAATGAGCAGGTTCAAATATGCCCTGTACTTCTCAAGCAATTGACATTTTAAGAAAATCTAAAGTGTTGGTTGCTCCGGCAAAGGCTGCTAGTGCTGGAGGGGTAATGGACTCTTTTACATGTTTGATTTGGGTACACTTGTTGAATTTTGGTTATGCAAAGAATATTTATTCTTATGTATGTTTGTGCTCTTAGATCTCCTTCAAATGCTATAAGGAGATTCTGTCATCTTATGTTGTTGAGCTTATAATTCACACGTGATTGGGGGGAGCCCTTACATTGATTTGGTTTGTCCCTATGATTACCATATGTGTCCCACTCTGTTGGGTTTATGTTTTCCTGTATATCTCCCCCCAACCTCATCAAAGTTTCTTCCCATTTTTGTCATTACTTATAAGCCTTATGTTTGTATATGTCTATATGTGTATCGTGGAGCATACGTTTTTTATACAATTATGCCATTAGGGTATTATTGTCTGAAAGCATACAATAGACAACACCTTCCCAAAGTGACCAAATTCAAATGATTTGATTCATACAAAGTCATCTTAAAAGGCACATTCATTGAAGTGGTCAGATAATCACTTAAAACTAATTTTCACTTGGATTACTTAGGGTCATCGAGAGCAGAAGTCATCTGCAGTGGACAACGACCACTGAATCACCTTGCTAGGTGAACAACTGGCTGACCAACTTGCTTAACATGCCAGTATCTGGAAAGGAACAAGCGATGCCATTCAATCTAAAATTTGTTAAATATGTTATTAATGGATTATATGAATTTTCTTTATGACATGATTTCCTTTTGTCGTATCCTCGCTCTCTACTTTGGGTGAAAGTGAACAAATTCTCCATAGTGGTAGGCTCTATCCTTTAAATTATTATGGCACTTCTTGCAACTAATTTATTTCTATATCCTATATCCTCCATCTCTAAATCATGCTATTGTGTAATTTACCATGTGCCATGTACTTAGTGCAGGTTTGTTTACTGCTAAAGGTATCCTTTATGTTTACCTAGTAGTCTTAGTTAATTTTATATAGAGGTAACACTGCATACATTGACCCTCGCTAGAAGCCTCGCGAACTGGGTATGCCTAACTTTAAAGTATTGCAAATTGTATATAGAAAGAAAAGCTTTATCAAGATAGGCCTTGTTTCTCAGTTTATCACGTGTTTAATATCTCAAATAATTTCTAACTGCATAAGCGTATATGATACTCATTGGTTATCAATGCACACTTGCAACATGTATCTGCATATTTATGTGTACACAAAATGAATGTGTATATGTTTCGGTGCATGTATCTATTGGCTTGTCTGTTTAAGTCCAGTTTAAGCATTACCCTAGCTGCTGATGTCCTTGGTTTTGTGCCCTCCTTTTATGTTTTATTGATAGCAGGTGGCAGTTGGGGAACTTGAACTTAGCAATGAGTGCAACTTAATGCAATGGTCAGCTGAGGACTTTGAGGCCAAGTTACAGGTATCTTCACTCCTCATGGAATTATGTCGTTAGCCCTTCCACTGTAAGCATGTATCAGAATTTGGTGGAATGTAATAAGCTTGGCTTCTATGTAGTACAAGTTAGCTTTCATTGTTATCTATGGGCCAACAGATTGCACTTTTAAGTTTGTGAGAAACAAATGATTTTATCCGACTCATATGTTGGCGACACTATCAGCGGACCATTTTATCTCCATATAGTACCAGATATTCAATCTTTCATCAAGCTTTTCTTATAGGCCTGGGAATCTCTAATCGGTTAAGCTGAAGAAGTAAAGGTTTAATATTTATGTGTTTAGGTTCCTGTTTATGATACATAAATTTTTTCTCCAGAGATGATAGACAGATGTTACTCGAGATCCTTCTTTCTTCTGTTGGTTCAATCAATCCATCCAAAGATGCAAACTGCATATCCTTTAGGTTTTGTTCTTTTTTAAACCTGCTGTCTTATGGCCCTTCGAGCTTTTGATCAATTACTAAAGCCTAGACCAGGAAGCTTTGTAGATTTTTATATTCTGACTATTAGGTTTTGACACGGTGCATGGACATTATTTGTCTTTTTCATCATGTCCCTCCTCGTCACTCTTTCCTTGTTTGTTCTTGGTAATAGGATATGATGAAGCAGACATATGAGAGGTCACTGAAAACCGCAAGCGAATATGGTTATCTGAAAGATAATCCAGAGTAAGTTTCTCTAGAGCCAGTCTTTTATGTTGTGTTTTTTCCTACTTCCTAAAGTCATTACAGTACCTGACTAATTATCTTTTGAGGTATCATGGGTGACCATGCACACGACTGAGTATTTCCATTAACTAATCCCATTGAATTTAGTTTTTCAGATTCACGAAATTGAAACTGTTTTCGGTAGAAACTGGTTCCCAATTTTTTGGGGTGGGATGCATGGACTCTTCTCCCCTCACTGATTTTGTTGATCACAACATCATTATCCTATTGAGGGCCATCAAACCCCTTTATATTATTTCAAATTTAGTCCTTGCAAGTCTTCCTCTACCTCTTTGGGTAGCGGAAATGCCATCATAATGCACCAGACCATGTGGGCCCTTGTGTAGTTCCTCAGCCTAAGTTAATATCAGAGTCGTCCATTTGACGCCTCACGTACATTTCACGTGCAGATATCTAGTTTAAAGTAACTAACCTCATCAAACTTGTGCCTCTTATTGTTCACCTCAATTTGTACTACTAAATTATCACGAATGCAAATTTTTCACAATTGTATTTTAGCCAGTCTTCCCTTTCTTGAGGTTCATTACATTGCCAAAGATAACCAACAAGTGATTCAAGAAAGATGTCTGGTATAAAAATTCAAGACTGAGATTGTGAGAGAAATATAAGCAGGTAGCATAACCAATAGCATAGCCATGGATGAAAAACTAACTCTTGAAACAGTGAGGTATCTATTTGTGAAAGAATTTGAAGAGGTGGGAGAACTTGGGGAGGAGTTTGGTATTTGGTAGCAGATGCATAAGGGTGATAAAGATAGCAGACAGGAACGGGGAAGAGATTAGGGAGTAGAGTGACTCACTTTTGGTTTTGCGTGATCGCTAACTTTGGGGTAATGAAAGATGGGGACACAAGAAGCGGAGAGAATGCTCATGACGATATCACGGGTAACGGTGTTAGAAATGGCAGCCTGCTGGTTCGGTACCCATGAATTTCACCCGAACCAACCCGAATCCAATTGTCAAGGATGATCTGTGAGAGGATGATCTGTGCATCCATCCTTGGAGTTTGAGCTACTTTTGTTGTCGTGTCCACTGTCTTAGATCTTGACCTTAATATGTACGAGCACATTTGTTTCTTGGATTTTACATAATAAGTTCAAGTTGTTGCTGATTCATGCTTGCTCGATGGTCCATCGGAATACTCTCATGTCAGAATAAAAATGTTTTCCTCCGGTTTTGTTGTAGGGCCTTGGTGCATGGCGGAAACATCTGTGCGTTCCTTAATCTTGCTCATGCAATGATCGATCAAGGATGTGTGTGAATCAAGATCGATGTAGCCTCATGTACAACATGTAAAACATTCATCCTGCACAGGACAATTCCTGTGGCAGTGCACATCTCATGGACGCATATTTCCTGTTCTACCTTAGATCAGACATTGCAAGTAGCGGCTTAGCAAGCTCGTGTTGTGAAATAGACATTAATGGGAACTCCATGAGAGGTTCGTCGAGCCATGCCATCGCGCCATTGCAGTTGGTCAAATGTCCAAAGCCAATGTGCTTGCTCACTGTAATGAAATGTTTTGTTCTCGACTACCTTACAATGCTCTTAAGATCTAAAATGTCATGTCCTTAATTCTTCAGTGTTCATTCACAATAATTCTTCTCTTAATTGAAGTGATGCCATATTTTTTCGAGTAAAAGCCAAAGAGTGATAACATATATTTTTTTTCCTTTTTGTGAATTACATATATCCTTGCACTGCTTGGAAATAGATTATTTGTCATGACAAATCTTTAGTGCAACATATATACTCTGAATATTATGATCATACAGATATGTCAATTCTTCTATTGTCTTTCGATTTCTTGAAAGATAAAAGAGTATGCAACTCTGATTTCTTTTCACGCCTACAATTGCTTTGATTTAAAGCTAATACAAAAGGGTTCCATGATTCATCACGTCTTTTATATCATAGAGGCCAATGTCAAAGATAACCTAAAAGCCATTCGATGACCGACACTTCTACTAATGTAATAATACATGTAAACATTTGAAGACCGACAACAACAACACGATCAAAGAGTTCAGATTTAATTTTCAATCAGCATGCAATCGGTGGTGCTGCTGCTATAACTACTATGATGGATTAGCTTAATATCGACCAAAGACATACAAGAGAGAGGTGCCATCACTTCAGACTTGGGGAGATGCCATCACTTCAGACTTGGGGAGAATCGGTCAAAATCTCGCAAGATATATCAATTTCTTAGCTGTGAAATTGGTAAAAGAAAAAGAAGACGCAGAAAAAGAACAAACTCAAAGTTGGAGGACAATAAAAAGATCTCAGACTTGATATGAAGTGGGAGGACTATGTATTCTTTGTTCACTTCCTGGATCCCTCGGATGATTTCTCAGACCTCTCCGCCAAATAATGCTCAAGCATGTCTTCCTCATCATCTGCAATATCAAAATAAAAGCAGTATCGAGAGCTCAGTTATACTGATTTGACAGAATTTTATTTCAACCAAAGTATCCAGTTATAAGAAACCGATAGTCCCAGGAACAAGGAGGAGGAAAACCTTCAAAGTCGTCATCAAACTCAATGTCTTCCTCTTCCTCTTCAGACCCTTCAGCAACTGTAGTTGCACCTTTCTGGGAAAAGAAGTTCGAGCTTTACTTATCTCGCACATTAAATAGAAAGGAAACTAATAAACCTAATAGTTGCTTATGATGAGAGATGAGGTTAGAAATGATACAGCCATTTCGTAGTGAGTATTTACAAAAGATGACAAATATTTTTACAGGGTATACATCAACATCAGTATTTACAAAACGCAAACAATGAAATGAGATACCACTGCATGTCTTCCACTCTCAAACCACTGTCTTCCAGTAAGCTTCTTCTCCTTTGTTGATGTTAAAGCAGAGTCTGGCATTAACCTGCACAATTACATGACCTTCAGAGCTTTGCCTCAACAGGTTTCAACTAAATGGCGAAACAAATATCTCTACCAATATAGTTATCAATTATACACAACATATTGGATACATGAATTTGACTCGGTGACCTAAAGAAAAATAGATGAACCAATCACCAGCATTCTTTGGTTATGTACATCACAGAGAGCTTTAAGTATATTTAAGTAAGTATGCAAACACATGCCATGGTTTTGTTACCACTACAAAAATCCTCCACAGAGAGCTCCAAGTGTATTTGTTAAATTACACAAACGTGTGCCATGGTTTTGTAGCCACCATGAATATCATCGAAATTTGTTTTCCGTAATACTTGAAAATGAGAATAACATTCAGAAAGCACCTTACTTTGCATTGAAGATAATAGTGCTTACTTGGCTCGCTCTAGTGCTAGTTCAGCTTCAAATCTTTCTCTCCAAGAAACAAAGGATTCTACGGTAACCGGTTCTCCGTGTGGAACAATAATCTGAAAGTTTTAGATACAAGGTCAATTGAAAAGTCGATATGAAAATATATACCCATGTATTATTTTCTCAACTTGAGAACATTTAGCAGTATGATAAAGCATTATAATGTGCTACAGAAAATTAAGTTACGAGCATGAAATAGAATAGCCAGTAACTAAAGACAAATTGGATGAACTGTTATCTACTCCTCTAACTCCATGGTGTCAATAGGTTCGGCCAAGATTAGGCCCTTCAAATTATTAAATATTACACAAGATAAATGAAGTGAAAATCCTATGCAAAATAATCACTGTACCTCATCTTTAACTGCATCATTTTCTTCAGAATCTTCAATTCCAACATCATTTCCATACGCTTCACTTAACCACTCTTTAGCTGATGTGACTAGCGTGTAAATCATTGCCATGCCAAGATTCTCAGATGCCTAAGGAAAATATTGAGCAACGGTTTACTTAAAGGACAAAAACAATAAATTCCAGTATGTAAGAAAGCAACTGAGGCTGCAAGTTACACCAAGAATAGATAGTTGAGAGCATTAAATGATATCTAAATTATTGACTCACAAGAATCGATAGTTGCACCTCACTGACTGACGCATGTGACCAAAAGCATAATCTAGATAGATAATACCATCTATAGAGTTCCAATGATAAATCCATAGCTACCATCTACAACGAGACACAAGGTTCCAAATATTTGTTGGCCTTGGACAGCAGCTATTGTCAGTGAAAATATTGTTAACAAAGAAAATTGTCAAGTACGACTCTGTTGGGGATACTTTATTAAAACATCTTGATTGGTGTTTGAAATGAAAGATTCATCTTAGTTGCTATTCTGAATGTATTATAATTTGTGATCAATGTGACATGTACAGAGGCTAATTCATGACATTCATTGAAGGATGACACCCTGGATGGATAATTCAAAAGCTAGCTTATTCTAGTAATATCTGGAGATTGCACAACTGGAGTTGTGCATTGAGAAGGATATCAACCTCTCACTACGAATGCTTGCACTCATTTCACAAGGGCATGGATAATCATCAATTGCACTTAAATCCTTTATTCCAGTACACAGGCACAATGCAAGATAAGATATGGAAAACTTATCCAGCAAAGAAAATGAACAAAAAATTATGCATAATTAGATAAGAAAATATGCAATGAAATCATTCCAAAAAATGTACCTCCTGGAGAAGCTTTTCTTTCAAACTTGTCAGATCTTCTGGCCTAATGCCTCTTAAACTGCAAGTCACAATGGTTTTTACATAACTACTTGAAGCTGAGAAAGTTGATACTCTGTAGCTATCTAAGGGAGTGACATCGAAAAGAAACAAGCTCATATATACACACTAAGTTGAGAACATAAAAGATGTTACTTCTTTAAACTGCCACATGAACACTCGCCTGCTAACCTTTTAACATTCAGAAGTGGGGGTTCGTCAGGATACTTTTCAGTGTGAGAAAATATCAGACCCATCTTAACTGCAAAATAATTTTATACTTCAGCAGGCACCATTCAAATATTAATTTCAAGTATCTTGACAAACTGCTGCTGTTTCAAAAAGCTGTCATTTTCTTCTAAGATGCTGGTAATGAGGTACTGAGCTAAGTTTGTGAAAAATACATTTTTTACGTTTTATTGGTGTTAAAAAATTTGGAGATAAATAAAGATGAATTGACAAACCTGGAGTTGAAATTGACTCATCCACATCATTATCCTAATAAAAAAAAGATACTGACTTAGTAAAAGAATAAGAAATAAAACTTGCATATTAAAAATTTAAGGAGACCCAGCAAATATTTGATCAAAAATTGGCCAACCTTTCACAATCCTATAACAGAATAAAAGATCAATCCACAAAAGACTTTAAATGTTTGTTTTGCTTGTCAGACAGCAAAGGGAGCCTGTCTTCTTCTAACAATATCTTGTATAAATAAGGAGCTCCTGCTAAACGTTCTTTGTTCTGTTTCACTAGTGCAACTTTCTACCAGGCATAAGGTAAGGCAATTTGACCAAGTGAACAAGAAATACACCAAATTGTTGGTTGAAGAAGAAATGAACATTATTGTAGCCAGTATGAGTTTATGATATTGAATAAAAAAATTCTAAACTACGGAGAATGATGCTTCCAGTTATTGAGAGTATACCTCACATGTTGCTAAACTCAAGAACATCATTTTCCAATGTCCATATTGTGTATGTTGGATATTCCTTTTAATTATGATCTGCTTAAAGTTTTGACCCCTAACCCATTGTATCTTAGTTTTGAACTTTAAAATAAACTGTCAAAAATCAATTCTTAGCTGTAATGCTGAAAAGAGAAACATCAATTCGGTAATGAATTAATCATTTGTTTTCTGTTACTATTGCTATTTCTTTTAATTTTCGCTTAAGTTCTCTGTTTGTTTACTTAGTGAACTTTAAGGAACAGAAGTTTTCATGTCTCAGAAAAAGCTTATTGAAGTTCCAACTTGAGCTGGTCTAAGATAATGGACTACAAGGGAACCACAAATTTAACAAAAGTGAGACTATGATAAACCAAAGTGTGTCCTATTTACCATATCCACACAGGCTCCTGTCTCTTTTAAAGCCTCGAGGAGGGGCATGAGGCTGCAATATGACCTTGACTGTCCAGATAAGATGAAATTGAGATTCTTGTTTGACAATCAATTTTCAACTATGTATATATCGTGGGCCTCTTCCTTCACACATCTCCCTCATTTATATCTTCTCCTTCACGCTTGTTCAATTATCTGCTGCTTCCACTAGAATTGACTAGATGCTGTTTTATCAAGGTAATCCTATAATGAGATGTGAGGTGTTACCAAAACACAGATGGGCACGTACGTGGATTGAGGTCAAAAAAATTATCATCTCAGGAACATCAAAAAGACATAATTCCAGTCCACAAACTATTTACAGACGTGGAAATTTGCAGGAACGGGGTTATGTCACCTGCGGAGTTAGTGAAATAAGAAAGCACCGATTTTGAGTGCTTAGCCCACTCTCACTGGAATCGATCTCTGCAGATTTAACCACGGAAAAAAAGGAGCAATTAGAGGCAGCAAAGAATAGAATCAAAAGTACGACCAAGTTTACGATGAGGCTGTCGGAGACCTTCGATATCGTCCATGAGAATGGCTTGTAGCGCCTCGATCTCCATCTCCTGCTCCTGAGCGTAATCTGTAGCAGATGGCGGCGCTAAACGAGGCGCTGATGGAAAGGAGCAAAGCGAATTCGAGACGTATCACAACAAAGAGAGTACCGGCCATCGTCGCCTAAGCTGATTCGAAGGAGGATTTCTACTCGTCCCCGCTTCGTCCGATCGATTCGTCCGGCGAAGAAGATGCGAAGGGGGCGATTTGGGAACAGAAGAAGCGAGAGAGCATGCGGCCGCCGTCGCGGGGTCTAATAAAGGGCGTCGTCGGACCCGTTAACCCGTTTTCGTGACCCTATTGTCGGATTCGGAGTCTTTTAAGTTTATACATCCTTCTATTGTGCTCCATAATATCCTTCTTCAGCAGATCTTAATCATGATTAGATGTTCTAATCTTCATTATCTATCATTTGAATTCTTAATTTATATTAGTACTCTTTAGAAACTCAGCATAAAATTAGAAATGATAAATATATTTTATATTTGTTTGATTTGAATAAACTAATATTAATCATGACTGGAAATAGTTAATTTGAATTTATTGAATGGATGTGGACAATCATAATATTGATGGGATACACATATCATATCAAAATTTATTATTATTAATATA